AAATAATTGGTATTATTGTGTTTGTGTATTATCAACCTCGCGTGATGAAAGACAGGATTAAATTCGAGAAATATTCAGTTATCCTTTCCTTAAACGTGGAATTTTGTTTTATTTCTCTCATAAAAAAAATGTGGGATGGAAAAGAAATAATGTATATTCCAAGCTCCAGAATTAAATCTGTTCTTCGCATTTTGAAAAAAAAACACAAATTTTTAAATGCATTTCAATGTGAGTAATGTTGAAATTTCAGACCAAAATCTGCAGTGACAAATTTTTAGCACACTCTGAAATGAATAGAAAACTGTGACTGTTATTTGAAAATTGTCAATCTTCATCATGCAGCTTACGGAGAAAATTCTTCAAAATTTCAAGAACAGATTCCGAATGTCTGAGACATCATAAAAAAAACTAATGTAATTTTTAACCAAAATTACAAATATACGAATACTGCATTTGCAGAACGACTCGAAGAAGCAACACCAAAAATTGACAACTTTAAAAATATCCGGCGAAGGCCTACTTTTTGCGTCAGTCAACTAGAAACCGTAGTAGTTCAGGTCACGCTATAAGAAGTAAGGGTCCTAAGTTTGCTTGGCGCCAAAGGTTTAGAAAGTGTCGTAGGCGTTTTAGGGGATACTTAACTTTATCTTTTAGAAATTGGGTCACAAAAATCTTCAGCACGCATTTCATGGAGATTTTTCAAACTAAATGAAAAAATATTTGCCCTTTTCAAAATCTGCCAAGGACGAAAACATCGCGTCTCTCTTTTAAATATTGAGAGATTCCGCAACGCTCTTCGTTGGATTTAAAGAAAAAAAAAACCGAAGAATCTATCAACATAATGAAATTTGACCTAGTAAATAACCAACCTTGTCTGACTAAATTTACGTGCTAAAAATGAAACAATCATGTTCGAATAACGATCACAAAATTGCCGTCCGGCTCGTCTAATATTTTTTAAATACTGTTCATGAGACGGATGTTCATTCGATCAATTTCCAACACTGAAACACTCAAATATTCCTTCATTTTCTGGGAATCCATCCTCATAAATCGAAAAAAAGTTTCCACTAACCAACTTCCGCATGCACACTTGGTAATTTTCACACAAAACAAGAAAATTGTATTATTGTGACACACGTTATGAGAACTAAAGATATTCACCAAGAAAAGTTTCAAAAGACGAAGTTTGAAATATTCACGAACGCACCCATTCGATAAGAAACAGTGGCTCGGCTGTAATAAGGAACATCGAAATCAGGATCAGACGCTATTGCTCGAGAAAAGTCCTCTTTCGCTGCAGGGAAATCAACCATTTTGTACAAAGCGTGACCTCGTTCGTTGAAAATCTCCGCTGTGCTCCT